CAACTGATGGTGTTAAGGAGACTACATAATACCTGTACATGTACATGTAGATATTAATGTTAATGGAGCTCTTGAATAAGGTCATCAGTGTATATATTATTCAAATTTTATTGTCATCTTAATACTTTACTTTCAATAAAATAAGCAAGAGCAGGTCTAAAGTACACTGATTCTACATATGTAATTAATAATAAGATATTTTGATGTAATGTTAGAACAATAATGAATGAAGCACTATGGTGCAATGGACTCGCCTGCTGGAATTCACCTGAGTGATATGTATTACTTGTACTGTGATATTTTAAGCAATTTGAAAAAAATTATTATTATTGACTGCATAGTTATAATGATAATTAAAATAAGCTATGGGTGTGGTCAACAACTAACTAAATCATGGCATAGATATTAGAGTAAATAAAAGGGATTGGAAACGGGCGGGGCGTAGCAACAGGAAATGCAGGTTGGGTTACCACGTGACAACCATCAGTGTTTTGATTGATTTCCCATCTCCTCCATTAGTGAAGTTGCTCTGGCAGGATTTTGAAGGAAATTTGTGCTGCTCCAGGATAGCGCTTGCTTTTGATATATAGCCTATTCCACATAAAATTTTTAGAGCTACCTGTAGCAAGGTTTTTATCTCCAAAAAGCCATTTTGCAACCAGTTAGAGGTACACAAAGTTGCTTGTTTTTGAAACACTTTATCGTTCGTAAAAGACTCAAGCTTCATTGTATCAATATGCAAGTTAGCTCATTCCATAGGAGATTTCAAGCTCTTTAAAATGGTTATACTTATTCGTAGCTCAAGAACAAAATGAGTCTCTTAGGGAGGGAAAAGATGGTAGTTCTAGTTAAAGAGTGACGCGGCTACTAACACATGCATTGATTTACTGAACAAAAAATATTAATAAAAAGCATAAACATTGGTTAGTATTGTGTGTGAGTTTTGTTTGCATGAATTGTATTCTCTTGGAGTTATTCAAGAATAAAGCAAGAAAATCCCAGTTTTTTACTCCAAAATTGGTCAAAAAATCCCAACCCTCCTCTGTTTACTTAGCAACAATACAAATCAATGGAGGTTTGCCCACGCTTCCGTTTCCAATCCCTTTCATTTACTCTATTATCTATGATCATGGCACATGGGTAGGAGAAAGAAGAAAAGCTGAAATTTATTTTAGCATCTGAAGCTCTATTCCAAGAAAGAGTTGGCTTAGAAAATTTTTCTAGATATTTAAAAGAGACTGAGAGAGTTTGGTTGTTCCTGCTTTCCCCAGTGCCGCCTGAAAAATTCTCAAAGAGGCTAAATCACAAACTTTGAGCAACTGTAACTCACAAACAACGAAGTTAGGACAAAATCGTTCTTTTTGTTTTTCGTTAGATGGGATTTTCTACCTTTGAAGAAAATCTCGGCCCTGTAGAGTGAAAAACGAGCTCTCACCTGAAGAGAGGTCCCCTGGTTTAGCAGTTCACAGCTTTTGGTGCCACGGGATGCTACAAGAACATAACTAGATGAAAGAAAGCAACTTTATCTGTTGCTAGAAGAAGAAATAGAGCTCTAGACTGCTCAGACAAAAAGATAATTTTTTTTACAAATCAATTTAACTGTGTGGACAGAATGACAACCCAACTGCTTAGTACCTGCCTATGCAAGCGTGCAAGTGTTGATATAAATTCTGTGTGTGTGTGTTCAATAACTAATCATCATAATAAACTCAACAAGGGAAACAATAGTTGATTGATTTACATCATTTCTTCAAGATACTTTTCCTTTTTCTGATCATACTTCTCAACTATTACAGCTTTCTTCAGTTTGATGGCACCACATCTCTTCCAAGTATCATACAATACTGGTGAAGGATCATCTCCACTGTACTCCACTATCAATTGAAGGTAAGGTGGCTTAGTTGGTGACAGTGAATTAAAAATTATCTCAAGAAAAGATATATATCGTGAACTTGGAAATGAAATAGTATTGCAAGTGCCAATACTAATAGTGACCTCATCTACTTTGATTGATTTCACTTTAGAAAATAAACAAAGTGTCTCACTGCCCTTGCTCCTAATCCTCAATGATTTCAATACAATGTACTTAGGAAAAAAACTAGACTCCCAAATATGATAATGATTAAACCCATGTAGAGCTAGATCAAGTGATTTTGATTCTTGTTCAGTATTGATAGCTAGAGGTGGTACTGGTATAGGATATGAAACAGGAAATTCATCGACCTCTAATCTAAGTGTCACAGGATAAGGAGAGAGGAAGAATGCAGACAGTAAGGAAACATTAATTAAAGAGAATTCTTGGATATTCAAGTGCTGGAAACATGGTCGATACATAAGTTCTGCAATGTCATTATTATACATGTACCAGTAAGTTCTAAACCTAACTGAGACCACTTCTAAATTTTTATGGCGTTTTACAACTTCTTTAAACTTTTCGCTAGCATCTTCACTGGTAAAGTGTGCGTTCACATCTAATATCTTCAGGTCACACTGCTGTTGAAGATAGTCCAGTAGTAATAAAGATGGAACTTCTTTACATATACATGATATAATGCGACATTTATTCTCTATGAATATGATTTTGAAAAATTTTTCAATGTCAGCATAACTCGTGATCCAATGGATTGCCTCAGCTGATTGTGTTAGCTTTTTGAGAATGTCATGATCAAGTTCAGGTAATAAACCAGTGACAATTTTCAGAGAAATGTTTAAGTCAATCATTGTGAGAGCTAAAGCGTCTGAAGAATCATAATAATTGTCTATAATTGCTTTACTTTTGAAAGTTTTGGTAGTTATGAATACTCCATACCAGTGTGGTGCCCGAATAACATTGTGAAAGGTTGCTATCTTGTAATTTTTATAGACTGATTCCTTAACATGAGTGAAGTATACAGACAATTCTTTATTAGCTTCATAAAACATCAGGTAATTGTGATATGGGTTTACCATTGCAGTACTAAAGTATAAATCTTTGCAAGAAAATAGAGAATTGTGCTTATATAGTCGCCGATTGTGATTCCTTTCCTTGTAGAGTGTCTCCCATATCTCATCCATTAATATATCATTAGTGACTGATGTACCTTCCAACTTATGTACATCTACTGCTGGTAGAAGGAGGAGGAGTTTGATACGAATAGAACGAGGTAGTAATGCTAGTCCAGGAATAGGTTTATCATCATCATCAAACAAGTTGCCTATTAAATACAGGAGACACTGGATCAGAAGAGGAACTGGGAGAGAATCCATCAATAGTGTGATACTATAGACTAGTGGTTGAATGAGTTACAGTTCCTGGTATTTGAGTAGCAGAAGAGAGAAGAGAAGAGAGGACCAACTGCCAAGGCCCAACCAATGGCAAGGGCATGCTACAGCCAGGGGCGGATCTAGGGGTGGGCCAGGCCCACCCAAAAATTTAATTTAAAATAAACTTTTTAATGTGGAGACTATGTAAACTGTGAAACATGACTATGCAAACAATTTGTAAACCACAAAGGAGCTCATTTTAACAGCTTTAATCTTCAAAATTTTGACTTTGAATGTATGTAGGCCTTGTTGGCCACACCCACTAATTACCATACCCAAATCATCAAGGCCCACCCAAGAATCCAATCCTAGATCCGCCCCTGGCTACAGCAAGTTATGTTCAGTGTGCTTGCATGTACATGTACATGTACAGACGAATAAAAAAATTGCATGTGTAA